TTAGTTAAGATTTCAGCATTGTCTGAATTTTGACGATGATCGTTTTAAAGAGCGCTGTTTTTGATGCATTTAATTATTAAATGTTATAATGAACTTTTCTCATCAAATACCAGAGCCCTAACTAGCTGCCAAGTAGGCAAAGAACAGCGTAAATTTAGTAGTGCATTTGGGATGTCATGCGTTGGCATTGTTGGGTAGCATATACGGGGTAGCGTACCTTATGAATGAATTCCCTAAGGCTGTGGAAATCGGTGTAGTTTCTTCATTGTATTGACGTAAATATCACTGATTTTACACACTAAGCATATTTTATTTCACAGGCGACTTGGGACCGACGAGGCTACCTTCACTAATATTTTAGTAAACTGTCCGTGGGAGGAAATTGTTGCGATTGATACAGTCTATAGTCAGGTCAGTCAAACTGTACAGAAGAAAAAAAACATCTTTTTTGTAAATCTCTTGCATAACGTTTTATGCCAATTCAGGCTGTCGGGCATGATCTTCCTACGGCCATTGAAAAAGAAACCTCAGGAGATTACAAACATGCCCTCCTTGCCCTGTGTAAGTACATATCTACTATTTTTACACTTCGGCTTTGATAATACTTAATGACTGGTTATTTCCTTCGTAGTTAAGACCGCTGTAAGCAGAGAGAGGTACTACGCGGAGGTGCTGTACAAATCAATGAAGGGGCTAGGCACTCACGACGAGAACCTCGTTCGCATGATCATGGCACACTGCGAGGTACGTTTTCCACAAGTAATTAGGATACGTTATGATTTCTCGAAGATATGTGGTCTCTTGACTGCCATATAAACCCATTTTTAACCTTTATTTTAAAACCTAGATTATTTGAGAGATTGAAGTTATTTAACGACTGTGTTAAGTCTTTTACATAAAAAATATGGAGGTCGCTCTCTACACACACTAGGTTAGACTGACTCTAAACAAAAAGTAGCATTCACTAACCCAAGTCTTACCGATTAAATTAGCAAAACTAATTATTTTTGTTGTAGAACATCTATCGAGGAAGTTGAAATTACAGTTAGTTAGGCTAATTTTTAGTTCATCTATAAAATCCCATGTTTTGCTATTTTATTTTAAACAAACAGAAGTGTTTTTCTTTAGGTCGATTTGGCCAATATCAAGGAGGTTTTCGAGACCATGTATGGAAAAACCCTTGAAGATATGGTCAAAAGTGACACGTCAGGTGATCAAAGGAAATTCCTTTTGGCGATGATGGGTGCTCGCATGGAGTAGGAAAAAAACAATACCATTACTTCTAGTTTATAAATAAATGGTTGCAGCCCTTTCGTTATTCTGAATTTGGTTAGAGACTGTACTAGTGATATACAAGATAAAAAAACGCTAAACAAACTGGTTTAAATAAAAAAAAATGCAGTTAATTTAGACAGATGCCACAAAATAAAAAGAGGCCATAAACAATTCAATAAGCGCCAGAATATCGGAACAATTTGTATCGCAAAGAACGTAAAACTATTCGAAAGCTATCTGAAAAACTAAAATCAGTGTCTCGGAAAAACGAAAAATAAGTCTTAAAACCAAACCGTCAGTCATCAGGAAGCTGTGATGATTGCTAAAATTTACAATAATTGTTTCAATTTACACAAACCCGACTTAAGGAAGAAATAGGCAAGTTAAAACAAAAATAAGAAAACCAAAGGTTTTATAAATAAATGCGTGAGAAAAATAAAAAAATATTATGCACACAAAAATTAAAGTGAAGAGATATTAAGCAAAGGGATTTTAGCATAGTCATTGCCTCGTGCTTTGAAATCAGCATAAATTAGTCTGTTACGAAGTTAGGTTCAAGGGCGGCTCATACATTTTTCCAAATCAGAAGAACTGATTGGTCCTGAAGTCTATGCAACAATCGCAAGTCGCATCGGGTGAGTTCCACATACATCAACTTCTTTTTCCCGATATCCAATGCGCCAGCTTAGGGATGTGGCCTTTCTCACAAAAGAGTACATGCTTTAATGCAAACAGTATGGGAACGTCAGGAGCGCTGAGCGT